GCTGGCCACAAGCTCTTGGGGCTTGCGGTGCCAGAGGTTGGAGAGGCCGGCGCTCGGGTCCTTCTTACCACGGCCAAAATGCGGCGACGATGGCTGTTCGACAGGAGTGCTGATGGGGGTGCTCGCTGCCGTGGATTCACGCGGCGAGTGGGAGAGAGGTGGCGGCTGCTCGTAGGAATCCAGCTTCGCGGTGGGCGAAGGTGTGTAGAGATGTGGCAGTGGGGAAATAATGCTAGTGGAACGGCGACTCGTTAGGCGCAGTTTCAGATGACTGTGCGTTGGCTTGGGTGTGGCGTATGGTGTATAGTGGCTGGCAGTAGCAGTGGCTTGTTATTTCTTCTTCTACTCAGCAAGAATACGTCGCTGAAATAGGTCGGGGATAGTTGTCTGGAATTATGCAACAAAGTCGTGCCGGGGCGTGGGAAACTATATGCGTGTCGGTGGGAGCCAGAGCGGTGACGAGCGACGAGCGGCCGACCTCGAGATCCCTGCCGATGGGTGGGTGGATACGGCCAATTGCGGGCAGGCGCTACTGTGCCTGTATGCGTCGCTCCTGGCAAGGTGCAAGTCTGACGAAGGGCGATCAGTGATTGTGCGATGCGAGTGACGAGGGCGGCAGCGTCATGATATAACCGCGGAAATTGTCGCGAATTGCCTGCTTCTCGAAACCCATCACCAGGCACAACAACGTCTCAATGCCACCCAGCTGGATAAGCATCACAATGCCTACGCCTCGCGAGCAACGGCACTGCCGGCCGAGGCAACTTCTGGTGAGCACCGCGCACGGCCACATGGTTTCTGGTACGCGCCCCTACTAGAGCCGGAGCATGGAGACATCTCCAAGCGTCTACTGTCACGCCGTCGCCTCTGCAAGCCACCCTGGCCCGTAGCATCACCAACATATCTCACCTTCTAGAAGCCCGTCGCTGATGGAAAGTACCGTGGCCTTGTCCTTGCACGTGGCGCAGACAACCGCCGTACTATGGAAGCTGGGCATCCAACCATGCCACATCCGAGTATTCACCGACACCATACACTTGTTGGAATCTCACCAACAATACCAAACAAACGTATACATCCAACTCTCTATCCCAACTATATACGCGAACCGCCGCTGACGCCCATGCACCCTCTCCTGCAACCTGCAACTCACTAACATGGCTCTGCTCCGCTGTGAACTCAAAAGGGTCTTGGTCTGCACCACACCCAACATGCTTCATCCCTACCCGCCGTGCTAGCTACCACCAGCCCGTCTTCGAGCATCCCCAGCGCTGAACATGGTCGTTTCGAACCGTCAGCCAGTCTCTCGGCCAGGTCGGCAGAATGCGTCGCCCTTGGCCGGACTGCTCTCGGCTGTTTGACTGCCTTGGGCTCTCTTACACAAGCAATCAACTAACCAGCCGCCGCTGCTATTAGCCTGCGCTACATGCGGTACGTACTCTGAAGATGTTGGGACGACGACATGCGTCGCGTATCGATGCTCTGTAGCCTACACATCGGTTGCAATCCCTAGCGCCAGAGTCCAAAGCCATCGCAGAGATACTCGGCAGGTCTTGAACTTACTTTTTTACCCCATGGTCTACATGGTTTACATTTCTGGGGTAACAACCTGTCGCTTGCCAACGTGCGTCAGTCGTCGTTGCATGCTTGACTGTCACTCTCCAGCTCCAGTACCGACGACCCGAAATGTCGTGCTCGTCCACCAACCAGGACAAAACTACAAGATAGCCAACCCCCACGGCCGCCTCACAAGCTTCATTTGCACAGTCTATACCTCCTGGTGATCTCAGTTGCATATTCGAAACATGCAACCTGTCCCCGTGACGATGCATCCGAGCGCCGGAGTCTTCTCATACCGTCCTGTAAGTAAGTCTGCCCTACACAAGTCCAGCCATCCTTGCAAACGTCACGCCCAGTTCGCTTCACGTCTTGAGCGCTCGTTTCATTGGACCCTGCAGCAGCTCATTCTCCCACGTCGTGCTGAATTGGGGATCCCGCCCTACACGCAGTCCCATTTCATCCCACTTGCGTGTGTCACTCTAGACACCTCATCACCGCCCCCGTCAAGCACTTACGAAAGCACCTCAAAGATGTCGTTTTTGGATTACGACGACTCCGACAGTGTTTTTAACAAGTACGCGCTACCGCTCGTCATATCCGCGGGCTGACTGCGCTCCTCGGGCATGGGCGGGATTCGTTGGGGCGGCTCTCCCGCTGTCGCTTCGCTTGTTTACCAACGCCGCCAAGTAACACACGCGGAAGGCCCAACCGGTGCAACTTCCGACTTGCGAGCCAGAGTATGGGCTGCGTGTGCGACGTCACTCACCTGCTCACCCATCGCCAGATTGCTTGGGGTCCAGCTCGTCTCAGCTCTCCATGCCAACCACCAATCCGATATTCTCTCGCCACGCACGGTACCTCGAGCTGAATCGTCGTCGCTTCCGACGCTCAACGCAGCGTTTCTTGGTCCATCTCTTGCAGCAAGTGTGGCGAGACAAGGCATCGTCAGATTCACCAACCCCCAACATCGCATCAGGACTCCAACTCCAATCCCGGCTAGCATGCTTCACCGCCAACTGCCGCCAGACGTGACGTACCCGGTATAACAGTATCTATTATCCGGTAGCGCACGACAGTGCATCGACACCTAGGCTGCTTCAAGATCATGCACATTGCATCTTCCGATCTTATCAATGTAGAGTCCGGAATACAGCCTGCCCTCTTCCGCTGGTTCACGGTACCATGGGAAGAATAGGGACAACTCGCAACTACATTCAATCCAAGACGACAATTGCTGTCATGTCGATTGCTGCAGCGGGGTAAAAAGCAATTCTGGTACTGAAGCACTGGGCAAAGTGACCCGGACAGTAAGTAAGCTTTCTGTACCGACATCTCAGCTGGCTCCAATAAAGAGGCAATCATGAGGCCAATTCATCGCATGTCCAAACGGTCCCGCTACCGGGCTCGTGAACCAACGCCGCCAGCCGCCACAGCACTACGTGGTCGAAACGGCCCTTTCTCATGTTCACATCTGCGCGTCATTCCTTTTGGCGTCAGGCACGTCTACCTCGAGGGACGAATCGCGACCACGTATCACCACTACTAACGTCAGTAGCCTGATTTCCCTCGCTTAAACAGCCAGGTCTCGCAATGATCAATCACGTCCGTCGGCAAGGTAACGTCAAGGACCCATGGGAAATCATTTATCCCAGCAAGCAGTCACAATTTTTCGAAATTGTCCGAAACACCATCGCTTATGGCGCCTTAAAATGCTCCTTGAATCCACTCTGCATCGTCGAATTCGCCCTACTCGCATTTACCCACTCTCCACTTCGAGCTTCATGCATGTGCATTTCAAGCTTCAACGCTAGAATTTCTAGCGCGGGCTCGGTCCTTTTCCAAGTCACGTTATCGGGCCGCTAAATGTCTACGCAGGACCATCATCGGCAACTGCCCTGAGATCATAACTTCATCTTCACTGATGTGCAACATGGATAGATGGCGGCATACCGATTCCAGACTTTCCGTCTATGAGTGCTCGACGAAGGATTGATGGGCCAGACGCTGAAATGATGATGCATTCCTCGGTGGAATAGCAGGTGTCTTTCGGCCCTATATCCATGGACGACACGAGCGCAAGTCAGCCCTGTGACGTCAACCAGGTAATGTTGAATCGTTCTCTCCCTTGCCTACACGTAGAACGCCAAACATGTGCGAACTCTCCAGCCCAGCTTACCGAACGACCATTCCAGAGGCGCGATGCGATCGAGAACGATGAAGCACCTTATCTAGTCAGATCTACACTGTACTAACTCCCTAGCCTCAACCCGCATTTCGGGATAACTATATCCAGAGGGTGATGTGCGAAACCGCGCGTCACCGACCTGCGCATTCGCGGCGTGGCATATGTCATCCCGACAAACACCCTGGTGCGTTGTGACGAAAGATATGATGGAGAATCAGCCATAGTCTCGCTGCCGCTCCCGGAACCGCATATCACTCTACACATCTCAGCCCCGATGGATCGACCTTCCCTAACGGTTTGTTCTGAGATGAGCACGACGATCAATTAGGCCAGACACAGTAGGTCCGGCAACGTTATCCGGTGGGATGGAGGTTTGTGAACAGCATACTGTATGGACTTAGTATAGATTCGGTATGAATCTAGCTGCGTCATGACATCAAGTGATCGGCGTTATCACTAGGACTGAATAATGCTCGTCTATGACAGTACTCTACTTTCCATCTCTTCATCTTTCCACTTCCCCTCAATAGATACGGGGTATGTCCGATTCGATGAGGCACGGATGTATACTCGCGGCGTTCGACTGCCTCCCCCTGCGACATCGACAAAGCCCAACCTCTACATTAGCTAATGTGTATCTATACAATCGGAAAAGACAACACTACGACTACAGAGCATGCTGCGTGTGTAAGTACAGCAGCGCTGGAGGAATTTTACAAAGACACGGTCTCAGGAACGTGATCCGAAAACATCACGGCGGTTTTACTATATACCCGTTTTCCACAAACTCTCCATTCTCTAGTCAACATTTAAAGTTCACTATCTTGCAGCGCCATCTCTTCTCATCGTAGCTGTTGTTCATTCTCCGATGTAAACGTTGGTGAGATGTTTATCTGGAGAGGAAGATGATGCACATTATAGGACACGGTTACGAGTCGCGATGACTCCGACACAGCACTTCTCCCGCCTAATGCCAACCACAAGGCACCACATTATCGTTGGAGCAGAAGCGATCAACTTGATAGTTGTCTTTACATTGAAATCTACCTACAGCTGAAAGATCAGGATATCAAAGTTCCGCCAGATACGTCATTCTTCCAAAGATCACTTTTGCCTTTCCCCCTCCCTTCCTTGTCAGTCTACCAGATAACATCAACTCCTTTGCTACTCTCATCGATCCACACCACCACTTTCAAACAACTTGCTCCTTGTTCTTCGTCATCATACGTCCTGAAAACGTTCTCCGCCCATTTTGTTAATTCTCATCAACCTCTTCTTCTCCTTCTCCATACCCTAGCCAATCCACCACCCCTTCAACATCGGAAAAGTTTACAAAGCCGCCGTCCCTCCACACATCACCGTGGATCTTCCGACCAGTATCTTCATTGTCTCGGCAAGCTGGGTTCTGCGTACTGTCACTACTGCTACGCGCACGACCCCAGCGACAATATGTCCAGCCGTGGGTTAGGATACGCGCGCGTATACCCATGTTTCGATACTCGCTCTTTTCGAAAACCGGGTTCTCGTTTCTGCTGGTCTTGTTCTTCTCCCAGCCCCCTCGCCTATACGCAGTGATGCCCTCCATACACACAATTTGTACCAGAGGGACATCGCCGCCTGCTCGACGTTTCTCGGTTTCACTTAATCTGTTTCTTCTGGCTGTTTCTTGCTGCAGCTCCTCTTGCGTCGGTCTGAAGGAGGAACGGGAAGAAGAAGAGGAGGAAAGGGAAGATAAACAAGTCAGCGATGTACGTATATTACTCAACCGCATGGCACGTTCGTTGAAGCACTCCATCGAGGAGGAAACGTACGTGTCTTCTTTGAAAAGCGGGACGTGGTGGTAGATCGTGTGAGGGGAGAGGGACATGTGTAGACTCAGGAGACCGGCGCTGATGACGAGGGTCTGGAGGTGCGGGAAGAGGGTTGGTAGCATTGGTGTGTTGTCTGGAGTAACGAGGGCCAGGAGGGGCGAGAGATGCGTATACAGCGCGCCAACGATGATATTGACGTGGGCATTAAAATTGGCTGGTAAGGCAGTCGGCGTTGGTAGGTGCGATCGGATAACAGCTGCGTACTTGATCTTACGATCGAATCCTATTGCGGTACACTGTCAGCGAATCCCTAGTCTGCCCTTGCCCTTCCTCCCTCTCTCCCTCCCTCCTATCGCTCCTTTGCTCAAACTCATATACTCACCATCAGAATCCCTCATATCCTTCTCAACCTCCCTTACTTGCTGCACGCCTTCCTCTGTGCCCCCGAAAAATCCATGCTGCAGAACTTGCTCCGAAACCACATTACCAATGATTCCGCACACAAGCGCCTGCATCTTCTCCCTGTTCACGAATACATCATGCCACCCAGACACACCACCCGGTCCACCGGACGCTACACAGGCAATCACCCTCGCCGTATCCGGACTCAGTCCCGAATAAAAGCTTTCATCTGGCACCACCTCCACCCTATCATCCCCATTGTTATTGCCGCCGTCGTCGCCGTCTCCAAAAGGGGACGAAGCGTGCGCGCCACGCCGCTGCTGCTGCTGCGGGAAAAACGTCCTGGCAAGATCTTCGATCCTGTGCATGAGCGCCCAGATTGCGTCGCGCAGTTCTGTGTCGCGGAAAGCGTAGGCAGGTTCGTTGGGGAGCTGGGCAAGGATGAGTTGGGGATCGGAGTGGAGTTGGCGAGCGTGGAGGTTAGGATCTGTAAACCATTTTTGAGACGGGGATAAAGTCGGCCAGGCGGTCGGGTGGGAGAACATGCGGTTGCTAGGCAGCTTGGAGGTGTTGTTGGTGCTACTACTGGTGGGTTCTTGGTGGACGGTGGAGAGATGGCGTTGTGGCGTTGCGGGTGAGCTGTGGTATTGCTCTTTAGTAGTCCTCCAGTCGCTTTCCACGTCTTTATTTAATTCCTGCTGCGTTGTTGACACTTGTTCGCTCGAGCTCTCATCTCCATCTTCCACGCATGTGAGACCTGTGTTTGCATTTGCGGTTCTGGCGATAGGTGCCCGATCCATTGGCATCCTCGGTCTAGCAGCCGTTGCTCTTGTGGTTTCCTCTCTTTGTTCCTGCCTATATCCTTCCACCTGAGCCTTTGCTAAAATCGCGTTGTTCTTCGCTCTTGTCTGCGCTATAGTCGCGAGCTTCTTCCTCTTGATCTCGCTGTCAGGCTTTGTAGCCAACAGCCTTTTAGTCTTGTCTAGTGTGTCATTCGATGTGCGTGCAGCATCGAGCGCAATGCTTCTCGCGCCGCCCGGTTCGGGATAGGGTACAGATGGAACGGCGTGGGTATGTCTGCGGACAGATTTGGAAGTGGCGGTGGGGCGGACGTGGCGTAGTTGTTCCTGGAGGAGTTGTTTATGCGCCTGGTCTCTCTCTTCTTCTTCTTCTTCTTCTTCTTCTTCTTCTTCTTCTTCTTCTTCTTCTTCTTCTTCTTCTTCTTCTTCTTCTTCTTCACCTTCAATCTCTCTCTCATGTTTTTCTTCCCCATCATCTTCGTCAGAAACAGTCGTTGTCTCATCAGTACCGTAAACGGCGCGCTGGTACTCGCTTGGATCATACGAAGATCGTCTCCTTTTCTCTGTGGATTGAACAGTAAAAACTTCTTCATAGTCGCGTTTCTTTGCTGAAGAAGATTTGGCTGGTGCTGTTTTCGCAGGCGAACTGAAAAGGCCAACAACGTTTTTGAGGACGTTCATTCTGAATGTTGAATCGGTGGCAATGCTGGCGTCGGGTGGAATTGGCGATATGAAATATCAGTGGGGAAGGGTTTCCAGATGCGGGAGAGATTAATTGAGCAGTTTCTTCGGCTACTGACTCTTGTATGTGCATCGTAGCGGCTTTGTCTTTGTAGGCCTGTGGCCGCATGCGGCAGTCTGTGAGAGCGCGCCGCCGGATGAGGTTTGCTCTTGTTTTTACAGGACAACAAAGACTGCAAGGTTTGCATTGCCTGGAAACGAAGACATCAAGACTGCAATAGAGGAAAACATCAGAATCTCACTTTTACCTTTGCACGTCAATATCCTAACAAGAAGAGCAGCTATCAAGAAACCGAGCGCGAATTTAAAACTGCGCGGTAATCCTGCACAGAAAGCTTTTCTTTGATCTCTTCTATATCATCAAACAGCTAATTCTAAGCAAGCCGATCCTACTCCTCGTTTGCTTGTTGTTCTCACCGAGATTTGTCCGATCCTACTAGAATCGAGGTCGAACTCTCGGGTGGGAAGGATGGGGTCAAACTGGATAAACGGTTGGAAACTATCATTGTACAAGCTCCTCACAAGTGTTGTGATAATCGCGGGCGGTCACGGCAGGCTGCGAAAGACATACTAGCGGTGTGCCTCAGCTTATAAGCTACATCATATATGCAATACTCTGCAAAGATATTTGCTGAGAGTGATTACCTATTGAGCTTCCCAATCTCTCTGAAGCTTCGAGACGGTAGCAAAATCGTCTTCCGACAGTTCATATGAAGTCTTGACAGTGACGCCCTCATGGCCAGCCTGACAACCCATGAGTGGCAACGTCCCTGCTACTAAGAAACCACGACACGTAACGCAAAGCTTTGTCGACACGCAATCGCGACAAACCCAGTAGTCTTCGGGGTACCCCGAATCCGTAAGCAGCGAGCAATGAGTGCGCGCGACTTCACCTGCATTGAGCGATTCAGATTTGCACTGGCGTCCGTCACATGCCATCGAAGCATATGAAGGCAGGTAGTTATCGTCCGGCGATTGGTCTAAAGCAATATACTCGCCTTTCTGAATGGCTTTCAATTGGCCGTAAGTCGTTTCGTCGTGAAGAGGGTCTTCCATGAGGTTTGCGTCTGCATATTGCTCAAAGCGTATCCAAACATACTGCTTCCACATATCGACTTTTGTCCACACCCGTGCGGCGACATCTTGGCCAAGTACCGTCAATATCGACGCCAGATAGAACCATCCGATATTTGACAATGACGTGTTATTGCGTTGAGAGATCATCGCAATGCCACGGGTCGCATGTTCTCGAAGAACTTCGTGCGCCTTCTGGTTGTTGCCGAGAGCCATATGTATTCTCGCAAGACAGAGACTGGTTCGGAAATGGAGCTTGATAAACGAGGATCCTGGGAGGTTTTGGCTACCTCAACCAACCTGACGACCTTGGCCACTATATCAATGCTATGCGGAGTGCCCAGGTTTTCCAAGGCCTTTCGGACATACGCAGAGCACAGACGCGTCACAATTGGCAACATGAGCTCAATCTCTGCAGTAGCAGGGCTACGTAGAAGGTCTTGAACGAGGCTTTCCCAAACTTTAATTGCCTCATCGAGCTTGGCATGTGTTGACTGCAGGAAGTTCAGCCGGCCAAGCCAAAACCCAAGTTTGAGTTCCGTGAGGGTTTTCTGTTGCTCCGAAAGTACGTCTGTAACAGCGCAGAGGGCCAGTGAGTCCCGATACACCTTACATAAGGTGGATAGACGATCGCCGTCCGGATCGTTGGCGATGGTATTGCTCAAAGCAATATGCATGAAGCTGTTGCAAGGCTTGTCAGCCTGGTGAACGAATGTTTTGATAAGGAGGTGCCGGTGAGACTTGTAGAAGGACATAAAGATATCGAAACCACCGTCGATGTCCCTTCCGCGAACAGCGATTCCTAAGGTATCAGAAACCATCTTGCAGGACAATGAGTCACCATTGTTGCTCTTGATCATGCTGATTGCTGACTCTCTGAATAGCATCTCTTTGGAACTGTCGTCCCAATACGACTGCCACTCGAGCATGTCGTCGATCGCCCTCATCACTGACTGGGGCTCAGCCTTGCAGTCATTCATGAGTTTCAGAGATTGATCGCAAAAGTCATACGCTGCGTCAAATGCTTCCATTCTCTCCAGGCCAAAACCAGCCTTCCAGGACGTCGCTTCAGCCATCAACACTGCAGCCCGCCAATCCGTCCCAATGTGATTAGAGAGTAATGCGTCGGGCGCATTTGTGTGATCGCCAAACGCACATAAGATTGCCGCGGTATGAACGTCGAGATCGGCTTTGTCGGTTATTTGAACATTCCCAGCCTTAACCCAACTCAGAATTTTGTGCCAATTGGGTGGCGTAAACCAGTCGGTGCAATTTGGGTCGGCGTAACCTTCATAGCTCTCCCTCCAAGTATCACGCTGCAATCCCAGCTCAGGTGTAGTCGTGAACCAACGGAACATATGCCTGATATCTGCTCTTGCCCAGAAGGATTTGCTTTGCAACCATCTTCTCGCTATCATTTGACTTGTGATCCTTCTCAAGTCAGCGGCACATTGAATATTTGGCAAATTCAAACCCAAAGCATGTGTCCATGCCTTGTATTCAATTAGCCCGACCTCCATACACTTGAACGCTGCCTCGAAATATTCCTTGTTTGCGCCCCAGCTTTTATTTGTCTGCTCTTGTGCTTCAACAGGGAGGAATACGTTCAACATATCGTCCTGGAGGAAAAGTGTTGCGAGGCTCATGCCTAGCTTTACTCCCACGTCATCATTCAGCTGGACTGTCCGAAGTCGAAAGAGGATCTCTGGTAGCAAGTCACGAGCAAATCCAGACATAGCGGTTGTCTGTTCGTTCCGGTGACCATTAACATTTTTCTCCAAGTTTCCCAAACTCTCAATCAAGCATACCGCTGTATTTGCCATTGCGGTGTCCCAATCAACGATGAATTGCGACAGCGCAGAACTTTGTTTCTCCTTAGACTCGAAGAACTCTTTATTGAAACCATGTGCATCTAGAGCCTCTGGGGTGAAAGTTGCAGTCAGAAACTGTTGGATGGCTCGTAGTTGAGCGTGGCTGCCATTTTGTAAGAGCGCATGCGCGACCAAATTCTTGCGAGGATCGACTAGCAGGTATTTGGCAATCTCGATTGCGGCAAAATCGAGGTAGTTGCGATGGTCTATGGTCAACAGGCAAGAGTAGGCAGACTCTATGGTAGACTTGACCACAGTGGAAGGGTCCTCATCGCGTGCGACAAAATCTTGAACGATCGCTAATCGCGGCATCGCGACTCCCAGATGATTCAGGACCGCTAGCAAATGAAGGGTTTCCTTCAGCTGCAGCAAATCTTTCCTTGGTAGCTGCTTCGCTAGACGGGATAGATCGTGCAAAACAACATCTTGACGAGACTGATGGTTTCTCATCATGACTCGCTCAACTTCAGACCGTGATGATGCACGGCGCATGCTTGAAGTATACCAGGACAGGATATAGTAATCGCCTGAAGCCATCTGGACGAGTCGCTCACTGACGTTTGCTTGGAAGTCGTCGTTCTTAAGTGCTTGTCTAAACAGATCGCATCTCGAAAGAAAGTCCTTCGCGACTAGTGCAATATCCTTTGAATGGAGATACCCTTCATGGAGCGAGAGTCTGGCAGCTGTGATGCTAGTGTGCTCGGTGACGGTGCTTAACCAGGTGCTGTTACCTGTGAGTAGAAAGCGGATTCTTGAGCTTGCCGGGCCAGAGCGTTGCAATACATCGCGCAAACTCCCAGATTCTTTCTCGTCCATGAGGTCCAAGCCGTCAAGAACTATATAGCAAGTTAAGTCCGGAATCTTCCGTATTACCTCCTGAACAATACTGTTCCACAAATCTTCGCCCTTGATGTCGTTATTTTTCGGATCCTCCAATATTGGTTGGGCAAGCTTGAAGAATTGGGCGTTCTGGACACAGAGCTGGAACAAGATTGCGCGTACGACGTTTCCGGTAGTTGATAGGACGGCTGTACGATCGAGTAGATAGTAAGCTACAGCTGCGGACTTGTGGTCTCTAGCATGTCTCTGGAGGCGATCGATTGCAGCAATGGCAAGATACGTCTTGCCAGTACTGGAAGCAGCCTCAAGCGCAAGGATTTGCGATTCGTTCTCAGCGGCAATCCAAGCCGTTAGAAGATCATGCTGCAACAGCCACTCTCCTGTCTTACGCACACGATGGTCAGCGCATGCGCGATAACGGGAAGTCCAGGGCTCGCTGTCGATGTGGAGCCACTCCTTCAGCTTTCCAATCTTGCTTGGTTCTAACATGGTGTGCATGATAGTGCCGACATTTTCGCGAACCGTGAGGACGTTTGTGTGTATTTGGAGAACCGTTGACAGGACCAACGCAGAAGACAGTTTGTTCTCTTCTTCTACAAGCTTTCGTAACTGTGTGAGATGCTCGTCCACTCCCTGATCATCACCTCCCATTGTCTCAAAGAACATCTTTGTAACTTTGGCAATCTCTTTGAAGCCTTTCGCCTTCCCCGAGTCCTGTGTCAATTTGACGTAGAGAGCGACGCAATCGACAACGTGCTTGAGGATAACACTCAGGAATTTAACCTATCACGCAATCAGTTCAGATGTTCACTCGAGATGACCGGCTTGGACAGAAGGATACGGCTGTGTTGTGCACTTACGAATTTGGGATGCACTATTGCACCAGCCTTCTGAGCTTCCATAACCATGTCGAATCTCATAGAGAAGAAACCGACCTGCTCAAAGAGATCTGCCGCGCTTGCGAAATCTCGTGGTAGTTCTTAGTCGTTTCGACAAGTAACTCGATGGATTTGGACAACAGTGTAACGCCAGCCCCCACAAAGGGAATGCTCGTGGCCATGGGCATGAGAAACTCCTGGAATTTCCAGATCACACTGAACACCCTCTTGAAGACAATTTTGGCTTTCGCAAGCATGCTCCTGATTTTGTCTCGTTTGCGGATATCACGGTGTTCTCCCCAACCAGCGACGGCAACTTCTGCTAAAACCGCCTCAAGTATTTTGTTCACCTCGGCGCTGATCTGGGTTTGGAACCCGTTTTCGGCCTTTTCCTGGTCAATCCTGTCCCTGAGGCTGATGCCCGTCATTGCGAGAAAATTTTTCTAGGCGGACATGTTAATGAGTGCTGGATCGATTGGTATCACTCGGCAGCACTACCTCGGCTTGGTCCCATAACTCCTTAAGATCTCTGTCAGGCTTGTTATGGAGGGCAACTTCATTGCTTATGATTTCCTTTTCTAGAAGCTCCCTTGATTTGCTAGGTTGCATGTTTTCTGCTGTTGACTGAACGTCAATGTTGAGCCGACTACACATCATCCGAAGGACATGCGCATTTAGGTATTAAGTGCAGCAATCTCATACAAGCGGGTTATTTATGTTGATCTGAGGCGCTCGCGCACATCCCCGTCCGTCCACATCTGCCATTCTGTTACAAGCATTACCGATCAGCGCAAAGTGGCTGGACGTCTAGAACCGAAGCTGGAGAGGACTTGACGTGATGGCGCATGGATCGACCTCGCTGACATCAAGCCAATGCAAAGGCGCAAGCTGAATAATCGAAATGTGCGGCTGATAGCTCAGACCATGCGCAAAACTTGGTCCCCCAACGCACTTCAATTCCTACGTGAAAACTTCCACTTTTAACATGGGTGGCAGGCTGCACTAGTCGTTGGCAATACTCGCTGCAACTAGCTTTATTCATCTACACATGTCGACAGATTGAGTGTTCTCGTATCGTTTGGGTGCTTGTAATGATCTTCGGCCAGTTGCGCATTAGTGTGTGGGGATACATCTAGCACTTGTTGAGTTGTGCTTGACTAGTGCGGTGCTTCTGACACTACTACGTTGCTTTTGTTTCGGGCTATGATCCTGAAGAGATGTGTCACGACATGAAGAACTAGGTCGTGTGCTTTACACTTCTAATTGCTAGAACATGTGGGGTACAGTCTCACCCTTTAGCTTGGTAGGATATCTGGCGATGAGCGAGTCGATAGAGCTTGTGGATCAAAGCCTCAGTTGCAAGAGTACATGCTCGAGTGCGGGGAGCATTGGTTCCCCTCGATAACCTTCGCCATGCAGGCACAGCCCGAAAGCGTTCATATCGGACCCTCACTACTCTGACCTCGCAGGTGCATACAGCATTGTACCGGCAGTCGGCTACGCCTTTGCAACCGATCCTTTGGCACGGGTTGTGGCTCATATGAATGCAAACGCAAGCTTCAGTGACCAGCCCTTCCTGTATCATAGTTTGGATACGTCGAACTTCAATTTCTCCAGGATGTATAACGCCGACGATCAGGTTTCGTGGGGTATTTTACAGCAGTTGATCGAAGGGGTCCCGGTTGCAACATCCGAGTTCAAGGAGACCTGGTGCTGAAGAAGACTGTTTCAATACAGTACCTTCTTCGAGGAAAGCTAAACAATTGAACTGTTTTCTTCAACAGAGGTAAGGATAGTGAGTGAGGGTATCTCCAATCTACTGTGGTACAGGAGGCCCCCTGATGTTGCGCTGCCATCGGAGTAGTTGGCAGATTCAGTGGAGTAGAGTTGCAAACCGCTTTGGCTGCGACTTCGGTAAGATAAACTTCATCGCTGTCAGGCGAGGCGTTACTGCGAGCAAGACCCCAGCTCAGTAGAAGCGAGTGCATTACCAATCAAGAGAATGGATCCGAGTTGAGTCGATATGGCCATGTAGCTCTGGCGATGGATATTGGTCATTATGGAGAATTCTGTACACCGACGTGTAGCCACTCTGGCACCTTTGCTTCCCATCGCCCTATGCAAGCACTCTCAATACATTCCAATAAGCTTCCAAAACAGAACTCTCGGCCCGTAAGACCGGGCCCGTAGTGCGCATACTTCCCTGAATTTGTCATGATGCATCTTGCCTCCTTCTTGATCACTGGATCACGGATGAAACACCAACACGTGTCCGTTAGCACCTGGATACCAAACTCGTCCAGCTGCGTGATGTAGCCCGCTTGCGTCGCAAGACTGTGCTGTGCCCTCGATGTCGTTACGATTACAGAAGTGGAAGGATGTTTAGTACGTCCGTGGACGAGTTGGGCAAGCGATTTGAGCTCGAGGAGCGAGAAGTGAGGGTTACCAAGGGACACAAGATCTACCGTTCGAGGAAGGACTTTGGAATCGGAATCTTGATTGAAAGCTGTCCACGTATCTTTCAAGTCCTGCCAAGTGATGCTGATCTTTGGCTGCAACGCGTCAGACTCTAGTAGGCCTGCATATTGCTCGGCTTCCGGTGTGACGCCGAGCATATGGAACATGGGTGCTCCAGCACTGGTAGCGAACGCAGCCGAGAAGGCTTTCAAAGCATCTCGAGATGGTGGGCGCTCTATGGATTTAAAGCCGGTGATGATAGGAATACGTGAGCCTGCTTTAGCGCCAATCTTGTAGCCGAGTAGTGGCCAAAAGGAGTCGTCAATTGGCGGTTCGCGAACTTGGTTGAATGAAGGTGCGAAGATAGAGATCTCCGGTACCCTGTTCTTAGTCAAGTGGATGCTAGCTAGAGGAGCGCGACCGGTCAGAGCGATGAGTGTTTCGAGCATATTTGGATATTTAGCTGTTCTTGAACCAAGAACGCTGTTCGAATAGCACACAACATTAGATTCTCCAAACGCAACTTGGTCGCCGAGCTTCGGTGCTGAATCAAGCTGATAAGGCGCACATGTGAACGACATCTGAGCACCCATGTCGAGAAAAACCTTTGCCAGCTCATCACTCTCTATGCCGAAGCCTGTGTCAACTCCCAAGTCTCGCCAACGTTGTCGGTCGACAGTAATAGCATTCACAGTAGTGGGCACCGTGAACTTGCCACCCAAGTCGCGAAGCCGTTTGCCAAAAAAGACGGATGCTGGCCCAAAGTGAGCGCCGTCTACATGTGCTTGACATACAGATATCAATGAAGGAGCTTTCATGATGGATGCTGTCCGAATGATGATCCTCATAGCTAGCTCGTGAGCCTTAGTGTACCCGCTTTTCTCATCGCAGTTACCTTCGAGCATGGCTTTGTCAAGTCCCGAAAGCCCCGGTGTGTGAGGTCGAACGTGTTCAGGGCTCAAGGCTTTATAGTGGTCTCCTGTGCTTGTCTCCAACTGTCGTGTCGAAATGCAGTGATCTTGAATGAAGATTATCCTTTTGTTCCAGCCCAGTATGGTTTTGAAGTCTTCAGGATCTACGATCAGCATAGGTATCTTCTTCCCGAACACTTCTTCCGCGACAAAAAGACCAACGGCAAGGATCTCGTTGGCACGGTCGAAAATCAATGCTCTCGGCCCATTGCCGTTCATGATTAGTTCTAGTATCGTTGCTGACCCTGAACATGATCCACGTCCACCTGGGATAGCCAGTATCTTGTCTTTCAGACATTGCCGCACCAAGGGGTGGGAACGATCGATCACCTCTCCGGTGACATGGTCAACACCGCCCCAGAAGCTGAGTTCAAGATTGGACGCTAGTAATTCGCCTGACACGCTGCCTTCAACGTGGGGTGTACCGTATACAATTTCCAGATGCATGTTTGACGAAGGCTCATCATGCATGTTAACGAATGGGTGATATAAGGTATGGATATTCAGGCCTTCTCGAAGATTGCAAGACGTTTGGAATAAGAATTCGTGAACAGCTTGTTCAGATTGTGGAAGCGTTGTCTGGTAACGATCAGTCTACAGGATGTCAATGGTTCGAGGAAGAGGGGCAATCATGACCTCATTCGTGCACGTCAAATCGAACCTCGGCCTGGGGCGCTTGTAAGACAGTAGGTCAATGGGATAATGATAGAAGCATGCAATGAATGGCAAAGATGGCTCAGTCGTCGTGGAGATCTGGAATTGTGTAGGCTGAAGTGTAAATGATGATCGCAAGGAAGAGTCGGTTCGGAGTTCGGACTGGTCCAATAACCGAGGACGGAACTCAGGACCGCCTAAAGCGTCCATAAGAGCAGCTTCCACCTTACAACTATCATATTATCGCTTCGTCAATTCCGCACCCTCGGCAGTGCGATGAAGCTGCCGCAGGTCGCCTTCCGAAGCAGCATATAAAATGGCCAAAATTGACACCAACATAACGCAGAACTTCCATCACTCATTTCAAGCCAAGCTCTGGAATCCAGTCGTGAGCGCTCACAAAGCATACTTAAACTCTTCCAGTCATTCTGTCGAATATATCGCAGCACTCTGGTAGCGTGCTTCGATATGGACCTGATCATTGACACTCCACGCCTCAAGCTCACGCTCCTCACCACCGCACCCCGCTCTTCTCAAGAATTCGGCTGGGTTCATGAACTCCGAAGCGACATACAGAGTTCATGGTGGAGGTAAACCCCCTCTCCTATCCCATCATCCTCAACTGACAGTGCATCCAAGTCTCTACGGTGCCTCTAAGACTCCCGAAGATACCGAAAAAGCATTGCAAAATATCTTGCCGGTATCACATCTAGAGGGCGAGGAGAAAGTGCATCGCTTCCCTTACGCTGTCCACGAAATTGCCGGAAATGATGAGAGCAAGGAGGAGCAATTCATCGGCCTGATTACCCTCCGCACCCTGTCCACCTCTGAAACGAAGTTTCCCCCACGCGACAAGTATGGTTCGACTTCGACTTCGCTTTCACTGGAACTGGCTTACATGTTTCTTCCCCAGTCTTGGGGGCGCGGGTACGCTACTGAATCTATCGCCGCTGTCCTCGAAAATTGTGCGCGTGTACCGGCAGTTCACTGGACTCCGTATGAGAAAGTGGTTGTGAGGGCGATTGTGAATGACGAGAATGCGGCGAGTCAGAGAGTGATGGAGAAATGCGGTATGGAGAAGCCGGAGATTGTGGAGTTCGAGGGTGGGAGATTTTTTATTGCGGGGAAGTGGAGGACGAGGCATCGTTTATTTGTCTATGGCAGAGAGATTATGGTTGGGTGAGGATGAATCTTTGTTAGTAGTGTGCCATAAGAAGTCTTCGAGACTCCGCTTGCATCTGGAAACATCGCAAGGCTTTGGACACCGGTGTGGGTTTTTATGCTCCATCAGGGCTTTTAAAATCATTATTTGCGAGAACACCATGTCCACCTCGCCCCGTTATCAACGAGCATGCGTATGAAAAATCGCCTTTCTGTTCGTCAAAGGTCCGCAATACTGATCGCGTTCAGCTACAGCCTTATCCGCTGCTTACGGTGGCGGACGCCCGAGAACAAATCCGGTCGTTGTAGACGTCAATGACTGCACACAATCGCAGAAGCGTATGCGCGATAGCGTAGCACTTGTTCTTTACTTAACCAGTTAGAAGTCTCCACGTCGTCTTGCGTACTGCTATACGGAATCCAGCACTTCTTCTAAGAGTTGAGATAACCTAGCATCGTTTCTTGTGATAACTTAGGCCTCAACACTCGAACAACTAGATCACTACAGGATATTCCCACGTGTTTTGAGCGTCACGCTTTTCTTTCGTTATGGCAAACCGCTGCAAGCATGAAAACTATACAGAAAGGCCAATCGAAAGGTGCTGCGGTGTGAGCACATACAAGTTCCTTCTGGGGGCCAAAGGTCCCTGCGGAAAAGTCTACACTTGGTTCACGAGGACTAGTTGCGAATGTGGTGTTTGGTGGGAAAGCACTATTAATGATGATTGCGGCGGTCACGGTCGTGGACCTCATGAGTACGGCGTGGCGAAAAGAAAGAATTGTTATGATGACAATCAACTTACACCAAATGAACCGGGTGGAGGGGGAGGTCGTCGTGAGTTTTGGAACTGTGATTTCGATATGAACAAGCTAATGAGTCATAGCGACTGCGCCTCGGGCTGCAGACCCTACCGGATGGCGAAGAGGCGACGTTTCGACGGCTTCTTGCACGGATGTTGGACGCCAAATTCCCAGACGACCAACGTCGGGCACGTAAGGCAGAAGCAACCAAGCAGGTGGGAACTTCTGTCAACTCTTTTGCGATCGTGAGGCTGTCTTTACTGAATGTGTACACAGCTGTTGATGACAAAATAGCAGTCTAGAGACGTGACTGATCGATGAGCAAACCACATCGCCATGGTAATAAATTGGGTATCAATCTTCAGCTCGTAACTCATCTATCCAAGTAAACCCATCGACCCAAGGAACTACTTAACCTCTTCGTTCCATCGTATCGCATCATGAAGCGTATCGACATCCAAATTCTTCGTGAAAAATGTAAAGACAACCCCCAAAAACGCCGGTGATGCAATCTATCGTAATCCCAAACCAAAGGAAGATAGATAGTAAGAAAATGCTTCGCATATAGCAAGCGTTTACGAAGCCTCAGCCAACGCCTCCCCCAACGCATCAGCATCATAATCCTGCACAACAACGTTGGTAGGCGCATCCGGCACCTCATCGAAGAAGCCCCAAATAGGACCATTCTGGTTGACGCCACTCGGCCTCAACTTTGGCTTCTTCTTCCTATCCCCATCCTTGGTCGTACCCTCACTAGACTGTGAATCCTGCGTAGCCTGTGAGTCTTGCGTGGATTGCGTTTCCTGACTAAGAATCGAAGGCGCACGATTGTCTGTAGTACTGGTGGCTGTAGCAGGGGGAGAGACGACGGGAGCAGGACTAGCACCCCACTTGCCAAACACCCAACCCCCGACTTTCTTTGTAAGGCCTTGTCCGCTGCCACTGGCAACCTGCGGCCCATCGCTCTTCCTCGGCCCGCGCTTCTGGCTCGCAATGTTCGCGTACAACCTATCCCGCTGCGCCATGCTGCTCTGACTCGTCTTATTGCTCAGAGTGCCGTGCGCGGTGGCAGTCCAGGGTGTGAGTTCGGGCCCCACGGAGCCGGCGTTGCCTGGGGTGGCGAAGCGTGCGGCGTTAGAGTAGAGAAGTTGTGAGGGTCGAGACTGCAGAGTGTGGATGTCCATGCCAGAGACAGAGATGAGGGATTCGTGGGAAGCGTGGCGACGCATTGCAGGGCGCATGGCTGTCATGGGGGAGACAAGGTCGTCGGGCTCAAAGTCGCCCGTGGATGTCATGAGTGAAGGCTCTGCTGTTAGAAGCGAGGACTCTTCACTCTCCCGCTCCTCTGGAATAGCGGCCTGGGGCTCCGTCTGCTGGAGGTATGGCGATAACGTGAAGCTAGCATCCGAGAAGGAGTTTGCGGGGCTGACAGCCGATATCACAGCCGTTGCAGGACTACTCTTAGTTGTCAGGGCTATCGGTGTGCTGGAGCTGCGCATTGTGGAAAGACTGGGTGGCATGAGGCCGCGGGATTTGCGGCGGAGATGTTTGCTCCCACTCTTGGCCACCTCGAGTGTGCCAGATGATCGTCGCATCATCGGAGGCATAGCGTCGGGATCAGAGCTGTAGTCGTTGGACTTGACGGGACCGAACATGGGGGACTGGAAGTCGATTGAATCAGGGGGACTGGTGGGGCGGGATGAGTCGTAGGCCTCGCTGAAGACGCGGTCGTACATTGACCCGCGGTGGGAGTCTGATACGGGCGAGCCCGCGAAGGAGCCTGGTGTGAGAGTCGACGCTTGAGACCATCTGTGCGAGTTTGGTACAGTGACAGCGGTGTGCTCCAGTATCGTCGCCGTAGATGAGCGGTCGAGCGTCGGAGGCGGGTCGAAGTGCGTCGGGGTGAGCGAGAAGCGCTTCTTCTTTGGCCGTCGCTGCGCCGGGGGTTTGGGAACGTTGCGAGAAACCTTGGGGCCGTGGTAATGGTGATGTATGTGTAGTTCCTGTTGTAGTGACGCTTCTTGTTCCATCTCCAGTTCTTTCTGCAGCGAAGGGCTCGTGACGTCTTCAGATGAATTCGATACCGGCTGGTGGACTTTGAGTTGGTCTCGCAAGCGCTCTACCTCTTCGTTCGAGTTGCCCAGTAGCTCGCGCAGTTCCAGTATTCCGTGTTGCAAATTCGCGTTATCAAGTAGAATGTCCTTGACAAAGTGGGAGACGACGTTGGGCCCGCCCTTGTCAGTCCCTGCTTTAGCCTTGAGCCTGCCGGCAGCGGAGTGGAGGTTCTCTTCGACAGCCATCCTGCGCTCCATGCGTGCCACGACTTCCATGTGGCGCTGGCGTTCGGCGCGGGATTCCTTCTCGATGCGGTCGATCTGGTCCTGGAGGTCACCTATAGTCCGCTCTGCTACTTTCCATCGTTGTATAGCTGTTCGCTCGTCGACAAGTTTGGCATCCAGGCTGCTCTGCAACTGCGACTGTTCCCTTTCGAGGTCAATCAGCTGGCGCTCGAGTAGTTGGGTGCGCGCTGCGAGGGAACTTAGACGATCGATCTCGTCTTCGGTGGATCGTAGCGTGTCTTCCAGCGCGCGTATGTGGGCATCGGACTCGGCAACAGCGCTGTTGAGCTGCTCGAGCTGATCCAAGAGGTCCCTGTTGGCCTTTATGGTTTGCGCATTCTTGGCCTCGAGCTCTATCTTGTCCTTCTCGAGCGTGTCGATGGTGTGGAGCATTTCCTTGCGTTCGCGCTCAGAGTCGGCGACGTAGGCTTCATGGCGGACGAGTAGGGCCTGCAGGGCAAAGGTTAGCGGCATGCGCGAGGTGAGAGCCGCGGCAGGGCAGCCGATCACTGGCAG